CCTGTAAGGGTGACGGTGTGCCTCTGCGGCCTGTAAGGGTGACGGTGTGCCTCTGCGGCCTGTAAGGGTGACGGTGTGCCTCTGCGGCCTGTAAGGGTGACGGTGTGCCTCTGCGGCCTGTAAGGGTGATGGTGTGCCTCTGCGGCCTGTAAGGGTGACGGTGTGCCTCTGCGGCCTGTAAGGGTGACGGTGTGCCTCTGCGACCTGTAAGGGTGACGGTGTGCCTCTGCGGCCTGTAAGGGTGACGGTGTGCCTCTGCGGCCTGTAAGGGTGACGGTGTGCCTCTGCGGCCTGTAAGGGTGACGGTGTGCCTCTGCGGCCTGTAAGGGTGACGGTGTGCCTCTGCGGCCTGTAAGGGTGACGGTGTGCTCTGGCTGTAAGGGTGACGGTGTGCCTCTGCGGCCTGTAAGGGTGACGGTGTGCCTCTGCGGCCTGTAAGGGTGACGGTGTGCCTCTGCGGCCTGTAAGGGTGACGGTGTGCCTCTGCGGCCTGTAAGGGTGACGGTGTGCCTCTGCGGCCTGTAAGGGTGACGGTGTGCCTCTGCGGCCTGTAAGGGTGACGGTGTGCCTCTGCGGCCTGTAAGGGTGACGGTGTGCCTCTGCGGCCTGTAAGGGTGACGGTGTGCCTCTGCGGCCTGTAAGGGTGACGGTGTGCCTCTGCGGCCTGTAAGGGTGACGGTGTGCCTCTGCGGCCTGTAAGGGTGACGGTGTGCCTCTGCGGCCTGTAAGGGTGACGGTGTGCCTCTGCGGCCTGTAAGGGTGACGGTGTGCCTCTGCGGCCTGTAAGGGTGACGGTGTGCCTCTGCGGCCTGTAAGGGTGACGGTGTGCCTCTGCGGCCTGTAAGGGTGACGGTGTGCCTCTGCGGCCTGTAAGGGTGACGGTGTGCCTCTGCGGCCTGTAAGGGTGACGGTGTGCCTCTGCGGCCTGTAAGGGTGACGGTGTGCCTCTGCGGCCTGTAAGGGTGACGGTGTGCCTCTGCGGCCTGTAAGGGTGACGGTGTGCCTCTGCGGCCTGTAAGGGTGACGGTGTGGCTCTGCGGCCTGTAAGGGTGACGGTGTGCCTCTGCGGCCTGTAAGGGTGACGGTGTGCCTCTGCGGCCTGTAAGGCTATGTTGGCATAAACGCGTTTCCGCGTTTTTGCGTTTCGTTTGGAACGCTTGCGTTCAGGACGCAAAACGTAGGATTTCAGGCTTCAAATACGCTTGGAAAACGCCTGCCCGGGCAGGCGGAAATTTTTGCCCGGGCAGGGGATATAGGGGGAGTGGGGGGGAGGGGGAGGAGAGGGGTGAGGAGGGGACAGCAGAAATTATCTTTTCACATTAACATCACGCTAAGGACACACATTCACAGCCACATCTCTCGACTACCTATCTCCTCTCCATCATCTATGCCTCTTCCATCCGACCTTCTACATCTCCCCTACTCATTCTCATCCTCCATCACATTATCTTCCCCCTCCGCCGCCACATCTCCTGACTACCTATCTTCTCTCCATCATCTATGCCTCCTCCATCCGACCTTGTACATCTATCCTACTCATACTCATCCTCAAGCACATCATCTTCCCCCTCCTCCGCCTCCTCCTCGAGCACATTGTATCCCTCCGGCATGGGGGGCTCGGGGATGTTCCCAGCAACAACCCCAAGCCCCTCCTCCTTCTTGTACCAGTTGTGGACCACATGCCAGTTGTGGGCCACGTACACCAAATCCCGGCACTTCTCCGACCCCAAGCGGTTGCGCTTGGCGGTGTGGACTGAGTCCCACACCGCCCAATTGCGCTCGCATGCGGCTGCAGAGACGGCCTGTGTGAGGACACGGCAAGCGAGGGCGGTGAGGGCGGGATGGTCGGTGCCATGCCAAGTCCACCACCGCACCATGTCCATCTCTCCCGCCTTCACCAACTCACGGTCAGCGATTGCCTCGGCAAGGCCAAAGCTGCCGCGCATGGTGAAGAAGTCGGTGAGGCCGTCCTGAAGCACCACTGATTCCTTCACCGTCCTCCCATTCGGGAGGGTGACCATGCGCCGGTCGAAGTGGGTGGAGAGGAACTTTTTCAAAACAGTGGTGCACTCCTTATCCTTGCGGAAGATTCCCTCTGTTTGGTTGGCCGGATTGAGCATCCGGCCAACCACGTGCAAGGGGCAAGCCAAGTCTTGATCCCACCTCTTCTTCACCAACCCCCGGATCTCTTCCGCCTCGTCCTCGTTCAGGAACTCCTCCCCATGCTTGTCGAGCATGTCATCCATGTCCACAGTGAGTTGCAACATGAGGTCGTAAATCTTACCCATCATTCCCTTCGCCGACGAATCCGTGGCCCGCATCACCATAAATGGCAGCTGCATGAGGTGGGTGAAAGCTTCAGCCACATTCCACCACTCACCATCCATGACCGCCGTGCTAAACACCTCTGCCGCTGCCCTCCTCGCCCCTGCAGCAGCAAAATCCTTCCACTCGTTGCTCAGGACGAGTTGCGTCAAGGCCCGCCGCACCTCAGTCAAGCGCCCCACCGCTATGTAGGTGGTCCCGAAGCGAGTACCGGCCGGCCGCAAAACTTGTTTCGTCTTTCCCCCATCCACCTTGCAGTTGCGCATGAAGTTCCGCGTGAACTGATGTTTGCGGACGAAGGCGATGATGTAATCTGCCTTCTCCACCACTGCCCGCGCCCACGCCATCTTCCCAATGTCCTCCATGAGGAGGTCCAAAACATGCGTGGCGCACGGGACCTTCTCAATGTGGGGAAATTCTGCCATCAACTCCCTGCACGCCGCGCCGTAATTGCTGCCGCCGTCGGTGCAGAACGCAACGATGTTTTCCGGGCCCACGCGCTGCACGATCGGGCGGAGGATGCTCGCGATGTACCCGCCCGTTTTGAACTCCATGTTCGTATCGATCGACTCCACAAACACTGCCCCACTGTCGTTGATGAGAAGTATGTTTGCCTGCGGCCTCCCGTTCACATCAGTCATCATGTCGCTGGCTAGGGTTACGCCATCCCTCTCCCAGCTGGCGGCGATGGGGCCAAGCGCTGTCTCCACACGCGTGCGGCATGTCTGCAGCCCCGCACCTCCTATGTACCGCCGCTTGGGGGCAACATAGGAAGCGCCTGCACGACCAATGCAGGAGATGGCGTTGGTGAAGATGGGGTTGTCCGCGATGTGCTCTGGCAGACGAAGAGCCGCGAACATGAGGCATATCGCCTCATCCGCAGCTTTCCGATTGCACGTGGGCTCATCACCGAAAAAATCGGTCATGCGGCCTCTCATCCCGTCGCCGCCGACAGCTTGCAGCGCCAAGGACTCTGCACGACGCCTGCAGTCCCTCGACTCATTGTTTCGCTCCTGATGCGCCTTGACCTCGTCACGAGCTTTCTTAGGAACGGCGGGGCAGAGGTGGACGCCACGACGCTTCATCCCGTTCCACTCCGTCAAATGCTGTGCGGCGCGCGTCGTGCCACCAACGAATGTCGCGGGACAGTAGTGACACTTTCGCGACTCTGTCAGCTTACCGTCCGCTGCCACACCCGTCCTAAAGTGCTTGAATATCGCATGGTCGGGCTGTTCGACGAACGTGGTGACACCGGTGGAACCCTCGCCCTCATCCGATTGAGGAGCATGTACTGGCGATGAGGAGGACGCCATGTTAGAGGCTGGAAATCGGATAGGTTAGCTGCTGGAATCTAAAACGTAAGGGTAGGAGTAGATCGTGGCTGTGCATGGAAGGTGAGCCAAGTTCTCCTCTACATATAGATCTGGATCTAGTAAGGGGGAATGGGTTGGGAATTCAAACACGTTGGGAAAAGGGAGGGAGAGACTGACAAGTTTATGTGTCGCTGTGAAAATTTTCGCGAATGTGCAACGCGCGAAATGTGCTGTCGATTCGCGACGCGCGGCGAAATGCAATTTCGATTTCTGATATCGCGCGTTTTTTTTTTGCGTTTTTTGCTTCGGTCAGCCCGGTAAAATTCCGCGGTGCGTTCGAGCGTTTTGATGCGTTTTTGAGTATTGCGTTAAAACGTTTGCGTTTAAACTCAAAACGCAAACTTGCAAATGCGTTTTTGTCAACCTAGCTGTAAGGGTGACGGTGTGCCTCTGCGGCCTGTAAGGGTGACGGTGTGCCTCTGCGGCCTGTAAGGGTGACGGTGTGCCTCTGCGGCCTGTAAGGGTGACGGTGTGCCTCTGCGGCCTGTAAGGGTGACGGTGTGCCTCTGCGGCCTGTAAGGGTGACGGTGTGCCTCTGCGGCCTGTAAGGGTGACGGTGTGCCTCTGCGGCCTGTAAGGGTGACGGTGTGCCTCTGCGGCCTGTAAGGGTGACGGTGTGCCTCTGCGGCCTGTAAGGGTGACGGTGTGCCTCTGCGGCCTGTAAGGGTGACTGGGTGCCCGAATGGCGGGATGCTCAAGGAACAGCAAAGAGCTGCATGGCGGGGCGCACAACCCAGCTCTCGGGTCTCTGGAGTCCGCTGTGGATGGGATGTGTGGTGATGGGATGTGTGGTGATGGGATGTGGGGTGATGGGATGTGTGGTGATGGGATGTGTGGTGATGGGATGTGTGGTGATGGGATGTGGAAAGGTGCATGCATATGCATGAGGTGCTTGAGTGAGAAGCGGATGAGAGATGATTGGCGGGTGAGATGCCTAGTGGATGGGCTCGTTGTGATGACGTCATGTATGGGTTGGGTACGCCGTGTTGAGATGAGATGACTTTTGAGTCGACTCAAAAGTGGAGCGGATGCGCTCGATGTGATGACGTCCTGTACGGGCACACATACGGATGATGATGGGCCGTGTTGAGATGAGACGCACGTGAATGAGATGGGTGTGAAGAGGAGATGAGGCATGCGAGCACATGATGCGTGCGCATGATGCGTGCACATGATGCGTGCAATTTCGCCTGTGATGTGCTGTGGTGTGCTGTGGTGTGCTGTGCGGTGCTGTGCGGGTTCACCAGAACCAGGTGCAGCAATTGGGGTGAGATGAGAGCCGAATGGCCTGACAGGACCCACCAGGAACAGCCCATGCTGAAGCAGCACTGGTCCACGAGAGCTGCTGCTCTTGCTGCCAATCTCACCGCTGCTGCTGCTGCTGCTGCTGCTGCTCCTGCTGCTGCTGCTGCTGCTGCTGCTGCTGCTGTTGCTGCTACCTCCACTGCTATTAGTACTGCGGGTCCTGTTGTTGCTGGCAGCACTGCTGCTCGTGCTACCTGCACCAGGACTGCCTCCCCTAGCGTCCACCTGGCGACTGGCCACTCGCTGGAGCCCCAGGATGAAACCGTCCCGCGTTACCACCTGAGAGGGGGGAAGGGAGAACGGTTACTGAGGATTGAGATCTATGAGTGACCGCCATTCCTCGGTGCCCGTTTCTGCCACATGAACGGCTCTGATCCGCGCGCATGCTGTGACACGACCGCATCTCGCATCCCGCATCCCGCATCCCGTGCTGATTGGCTGTGCTGTTTTGGAGTGAATCTCTTTGACGTGACCGTCACACTGAGTGCTCCTTTCCAACAGAAAATGCTCTGCTCAACCAGATTCAAGCCTCCGTGTTGCTACGGTTCGTCTCCCTTTTGATATTATCACACGTGCTTCCATCCAAAGCTCTCGCTAGACTCACACGGTGATCCTCGCACGTGAATCCGTGCGGCTCCACCAGCTCGCGGCACACGCGAGAAGGATCAGCATCCACGGCTGAAGTTGAACGGAACTCCGAACGGCCAGGATTGGAAGATGGGGCTCTAGTGGCGCGAGAGGGACCATCATCAACGGCTGAAGCTGAGAGGCGAAAAGGGCCGCTACAGGCGACCCTCGGGATTGCCGACAGAGAGTGAAGCGAGAGGAGAATCAGCGGAAGGAGTCGCCGGGTCCGCGAGAAGAGGAGGAAGCGGCGAGAAACGCGTTGAGCAGCCCTCAGGATTCGGGAACAGGGGAGGAGCGCCATGTGATGTGACCTTTCTCGGATTCTGGAATCACCCTGCGCGCGTCCCAAATGGCATCAAGGTTCAAAGGCGAATCTACCTCCAAGCTGGGAGTCTGAAATTATATCGCAAATTGGAAGCCACATCATTTTCTGCAATATCCGCCCCTCCTGAAGCAGGGAATTCATACTCCCTATGAGCAGATGCGACAAAGGCACAACCAACAGCCTTGTCCAGGGACTACATCCAGGGGCGTCACAAAGCGCGAAGAGTACGGTGCCTGATGTTTTTGGGATGGTTCGGTTGGGTGACATGCCTTCACCGAAGTATGGTACAGAGCGAAAGACTAGGCTCGGGGTCCACAAGGACCCCGTATTAGCTTCCTCGAGAGCAGAAAAAGGTGTAGGATGGAGATGGATATAGGTTTTGAAACTAGTCCCGATTCTGCAACTCGTGTAGCCAATTTACCAAATCTGGATAGCCTAGGGTTTCAAATTGAAATGGACCAATCACAATGCGTCTTTCCAATATCGCACCTTGGAATTATCTGCACCATCTTCGCGCCTTCTCTTCATCTCTCTAATCTAGCTGCGGCCATTTCTGCCTCTTGCTATCATTTCTTTGTCCTAACTCACTCTAGAGTGGCACAATCTCGCTCCTAATACAATTGATAACTCCGTCAATCAAGCTAGCAATTTTTGGCTGACACTGGCCAATAGCTCCGTGCCATATGTGCAGCCATTAGAGCCATAATTAGTGACTATTGGCGTTGAGTAAAAGCTCGGGTTTCTGCTAGTGTCCCTGTTCTGGAAGTTTGATATTTCAAACTCAAGAGTCGCCTTATTGCACAGATGCACTGGGAGAAGATAGAGATCAAGGTGAAGCCTCATGAGCCCATTCCAGGCAAATCGCCAGGGAGGAAAGGCGGCAAGCACGGGCCAGGGAGGAAATGGGGTCACACGCTGAATGCCGTGAACTACGGCCGTCAGGTGTACGTTTTCGGAGGTTATGGCAAGGACGAGCGGCAGACGAACGACGTCTACGTGTACAACACAAGTACGATCGTCGTGAAACTGTTTTCCCGTTGAGCCTCGGACTTCATTTTACTTTCCCTCGTTTTTAGTTTCAAGCGCTGCCGTCGACGTTGTAGGAGCAGATGGTTCGTCGCAACGCGAAAAGGCTCAAGCGTTACGAGATTATCACAATGCGGGAAGGCTGAAGTGTTACGAGTTTATTGCAATCCAGCTGACTGTTTCAGTTCGTTCGCAACGTCGCAATCTAGTTTCTCGCGAGGGTTGAGACGGCGGTGTAATGGTGATCTTAGCCGGACCGGCGACATTGGCGTTTACAAGCTCGAAGCTTGGCCTTCAAAACCACGGGAATGGCTTGGTTTTCATGCTCGCTGTGTATTGTTTTCCGTTGCCGATCGCAGCCTCGGTCTTTCCGCGACAATCATACTCGCACGGCCGTCGGTAGCAAACCGTTCGTCAAGCTCTCTTTACATTCCTTTCTCCCTGTCACTTACAGCCAAGGACGCGTGGAGCAAGCCGAACATCAAGGGCACGCCGCCGTCGCCGCGCGACAGCCACACGAGCACGGTGGTGGGCAGCCGGCTGTTCGTCTTCGGCGGCACTGATGGATCGTCGGGGCTCAACGACCTCTACATGCTCGACACCTGTGAGTGCAGATTGCAATGTCACGGCGCCAAATGCGAGGGAGTTGAGTGTAAAGGCGTGGAATGCCAAGCCCAATGCCAAGCCAAGTGTTATGCTCGTCCACACCCTCATACTCCACACCTGCAAGCCCGAGGTCGTGGCGTCAAAACTGGAGCCATGCGAAGGCATAGAGTGGCATGGGATGTTAGGGCCTATGCATATGATTTGCTCACGCTCGAACTCTTCCACGGAAGAAAATATTCCGTTCGTCTCTGCTGTATAATTATACGTTAACATATATTTTCTAGGCTGTCGACCAGTCTTGCGTTTCAAGTCATTCAGCCGGTTGCATGCTACTGTACGCCATGCACACTTGCACAACCTTGTCCCTGTACTTCCAACACCATGCTGGTGCAAGCCCGCCCTCTCATCGTTCTGGCCCTTGACTCCAGTCTGCCTGAATCCTGTCCCTCTCTCCCTCCTTCGTCCCCCTTCGTTCATCCTTCCCTCCCACTTCCCCTCCCCCCCTCCCCTCCCCTCTCTCCCTCCTCCTCCCCCCTCCCCCTCTCCCCGTCCCAATCAGCAACGAACACGTGGACGCGGCTGGCAGCGCAGGGAGACGTCCCAGCAGCACGGGAGGGGCATGCAGCAGCGCGGGTGGAGGGGGTGGTGTACGTGTTTGGGGGGTGCGGCAAGGCGGGCGACGGGGGGACGGTGGACGAGACGTATTACAACGACGTGCATGTGTTCAACCCTGGTGAGTGGGATGATGACCCTGGGCCCTGGTGAGTGGGATGATGACCCTGGCCTGGGCCCTGGTGAGTGACTTTGCTTGCGCATTCGGCCGACTCAGAAACTCGCCAGGGCGGGCGATGGGGGGACGGTGGATGAGACCTACTACAACGACGTGCACGTCTTCAATCCTGGGGGTGCATTGTCCTCAACCGGAGACTTGAGTTCACTCAGAAGGCACCAACCAAGGCGGGTGCTGGGCGGATTTGCATCTGTGTCTGTGTCTGCTCACTTGTTTTTGTCTGTGTGCATGTGCATGTGCCAACAGACGCCATGCGGTGGACACGGCTCGCAACAACAGGCACGGCGCCATCGCCCAGGGATAGCCACAGTTGCTGCGCGTGGGGCAACCAACTCATCGTGTTTGGCGGAGAGGACTCGCGCAACTGCTACCTCAGTGACGTCTTCGTCCTCGACACCAGTGAGTGCCTAAACACAAGTGAGTGCCGTGACACCAGTGAGTGCCTTGACACCAGTGAGTGCCTTGACACCAGTGAGTGCCTTGACACCAGTGAGCGCCTTGACACCAGTGAGTGCCTTGACACCAGTGAGTACCTCACACATGCCAGTGAGTGTTGGCCCTTCGCTGGGAATGTGAGGCAAGTAGTGAGTGCGGGCCTTTGACAGGGGTTAGGTTACTGTGTGGCACGTACCATGCACACACCAGCCGTGAGGAGTCTGTTTTTGAGGCGCCTCAAGTACCATGCACACCCCAGAGGCAGACGGGCAATCAGCTCACCTCACCTCAGCACCGAAACTGCTACCGCAGCGATGTGTTCGTCCCCGACGCCAGCGAGTGGGTTTTTGCGACTGGAAGAGAGCGGGGAAATGCCAAGATTGACACCAGTGAGCGTCTTCACACCTGTAGCATCGGGCCTTTACTGCGAGGGAAATCGTGAATGCTGGCCCTGGATATTGGTTACCATGTGACTGACACATATCAAGCACAGCAGGCACACACCAGAGGAACCATTAGCTGATAGTGTTTGTCAGAGGACTCACTCACACAACTGCCAATTCAGCTGCTGCTACAGCGCTGACCGATTCTTCTGCCACAATCCGCTTCCTAACCCCCGCCATTACCCCCCACCCAACAACCCATACCCCCACAACCCTTCTGAATCCCCTGCAACTCTGCCCCTCCCATACCCCCTCGCAGGCTCGTTGGTGTGGAGGGAGGTGCGAGCGAGGGGGCAGAAGCCCTTACCAAGAGCGGGGCATGTGGCTGTGACGGCAGGGCGCTACATGGTGGTCTTTGGGGGCTTCACGGATGAGCGCAGGCTTTTCAACGACCTGCATGTGCTGGACCTCTGTATGTTGCTGTGTATGCTGGACCTCTGTACGTCAAGATTAATTTTGAGTCGACTCAAAGGTCTTTGGGGGCTTCACGGATGAACATGTGCTCATCTGCATGTCTGCACCTGCATGTGCTCATCTGCATGTCTTCACCTGCATGTGGTCATCTGCATGTCGTCACCTGCATGTGCTCATCTGCATGTCTTCACCTGCATGTGCTCATCTGCATGTCGTCACCTGCATGTGCTCATCTGCATGTCGTCACCTGCATGTGGTCATCTGCATGTCTGCACCTGCATGTGCTCATCTGCATATCGTCACCTGCATGTGCTCATCTGCATGTCTTCACCTGCATGTGGTCATCTGCATGTCTGAACCTGCATGTGCTCATCTGCATGTCTGCACCTGCATGTGCTCATCTGCATGTCTTCACCTGCATGTGGTCATCTGCATGTCGTCACCTGCACGTGCTCATCTGCATGTCTTCACCTGCATGTGCTCATCTGCATGTCTTCACCTGCATGTGCTCATCTGCATGTCTTCACCTGCATGTGCTCATCTGCATGTCTGCACCTGCATGTGCTCATCTGCGTCTGCACCTGCATGTGCTCATCTGCATGTCTTCACCTGCATGTGGTCATCTGCATGTCGTCACCTGCACGTGCTCATCTGCATGTCTTCACCTGCATGTGCTCATCTGCATGTCTTCACCTGCATGTGCTCATCTGCATGTCTGCACCTGCATGTGCTCATCTGCATGTCTGCACCTGCATGTGCTCATCTGCATGTCTTCACCTGCATGTGCTCATCTGCATGTCTGCACCTGCATGTGCTCATCTGCATGTCGTCACCTGCATGTGCTCATCTGCATGTCTGCACCTGCATGTGCTCATCTGCATGTCGTCACCTGCATGTGCTCATCTGCATGTCTGCACCTGCATGTGCTGGACCTCCGTATGTTTCTCACTGTGTTTCTCACTGTGACCCGCTATAGCATCAGAATTCACGTTCCTTTCGACTACTTCGATAGTGCTGTCTGTCTTTCTTTGTTGTTTGCGCATTTTCCCACATCGTTCTATCCTTTCCTTTTCCTTCGTTTCTGTCTATCTTTGTTGTCGTCTTTTGGTCCATTTCGTGTTCTTATGTCGTGTCCGTCCTGCTTCCCTGTGGTTGTTCTCGCAGCCTCGGAGCACTGGCAGCAGTACACGCCAACGGGGGACGTGCCTTCGCGCCGCTTCTCCCTCTCTGCCGACCTGCTTGACTCGGTGTCGGGCAAAATGATGGTGTTTGGAGGATGTAATGACGATTTGGAAGCGCTAGACGATGCCTACTTCCTTCATACAGGTACCACTACCTACGCACAGATAACACCGAAGTGGTATCGTTGTACCTGCTGGACTCGGTGTCGGGCAAGCTGATGGACTTCGGGGGCTGTAATGACGGCCTGGAGGCATTAGATGATGCATACTTCCTGTACACTGTTAGACACGGTTGGCATAAGGCAACACGTGCTGAGTGCTGACCTGCTTGACTCGGTGTCGGGCAAGATGATAGTGTTTTGGGGCTGCAATGACGACCTGGAGGCGTCGGATGATGTCTACTTCCTGCACACAGGTAGCGTCCATACCACCACGCCACGCCACCTACCCACAGATAACATTCAAATGGTTTGTTTATACATGCTTGACTCGGTGCCGGGCAAGATGATGGTGTTCAGGGGCTGCAATGACGACCTGGAGGCTTCGGACAATGCCTACTTCCTGCACACAGATAGTGCCCTGACTGCATTGGCAAAGCTTGATGCTGCCGCCTGCTACCTGCTGGGCTTGGTGTGTGGCAATTTGATGATGTTCGGGGGCTGCAGCGACGCCTTGGAGGCATTGGAAGATGCCTGCTTCCTGCATACAGGTAATGCTTGAGTTGAGCGCACTGGTCTGCGCGCACTGGTCTGCGCGCACTGGTCTAGCACACTGGTATGCGCGCACTGGTCTGCGCGCACTGGTCTAGCACACTGGTCTGCGCGCACTGGTCTGCGCGCACTGGTCTAGCGCACTGGTCTGCGCGCACTTGTCTGCGCGCACTGGTCTAGCACACTGGTACAGCCTTATGCCGCGTGCTACCTGCCGGACTCGGTGTGGGGCAAGATGATGCTGTCTTTGGGGGCTGCAGCGGCGCCTTGGAGGCTCTAGATGAAAGAGGAGGACAGGGGTGCATGCGACTTGCCGTTGCTGCGTGATTGTTAACCCCGCCTATGGCCCCAGCCTATGGCCCCAGCCTATGGCCCATGGGGTTGTGTGGAGTCCTCACCTCACTCAGTCATCTGCAGTCTTAGCAGCAGCAGCAGGGCACGGTTGGGCGGAGCCATAAGCTGCTTCTGAGGCGGCTCAAACACAACTACTTTGTGCATACAGGTGGCACCTAGGCTTGAGCAACGGGTCGGGTCGGGTCGGGTAACCCGACCCGAACCCGACTTTTTGACGGGTCGGGTCGACATTTGCGGAAGGTTGACCCGACCCTCGGGTACCCGACCCGACCCGACCCGACCCGACCGATAAAACCCGACCCGTCGGGTCGGCTTATTGCCCGTCCCTGCCCCTATGCCAACCCGACCCGACCCGACCCGAAATCGGGTTAGGTAGAACCCGACCTATTAAACACGGGTCGGGTTGACATTTCCTGAACTCCGACCCGACTTGACCCGACCCGACCCGACCCGAACCCGACATCGGGTAGGGCAAAGTCGGGTCGGGTCGGGTCGGATCGGGTTCATGCTCAAGCCTAGTGGCACCTGCAACCTGCAACATGCGCACCAACGCCACCGTATACATTTCAACAGATGCGTTTATTTTATTCACACTCCATCTTGCTGCCCTTCATATCCACGTGATAGAAGATTTTTTTGGGACGTCTCAAAACAAATCTTCTATCACCTGCAATCTGCACACCAACGCCACCATATACAGTTCTACAGGTGTGTTTATTCACATTATATCCTGCTGCCATTTATTCAGCTTTATCTCCCCCCCCACCCTCCCACCCCCCCGCCCCCCACTCCTTGCCCCCCATTCCTCCCAGACTTGGGCTATTTTTGAGGCGCCTCAAAAATAGACTCCTGCTGCCCTTTATCTCTTCCCCCCCTCCCTCCCACCCCCCTGCCCCCCACTCCTGGCCCCCCATTCCTCCCAGACTTCGGCTCGCATGCAACGGACTACCTGCGGCAACGCGTGAGGCAGCGGTCCTTTGACGCGATGGCCGTGGCCATAGACGCAGGCATGCACCCGGGCATGGTCATGTGGGTGCTAGTGCGGGTATGAGTGCAGGCGCGCTTTATGGTTGCCACACGCCTGGTGCATAGAGTCTCACAGCAGCCTGCTGCCCTTTGTGCCCACCCCTCACCCCCTGGCCCCCATTCTACTCAGATTTCGGCTCGCATGCAACGGACTACCCGCGGCAACGCGTGAGGCGGCGGTCCTTTGACTCGATGGCCATGGCTATAGACGCGGGCATGCACCCGGGGGTGGGGATGCCCATGGGCGCCATGGGCATGCGCGGCAGGGGCATGGAGGGGCGCTATGGTGGTGCCTCGTATGCGGCGGGCGCAGAGGACGATGGATATCGACCCCCAGCCAGACGCATGCGAGGTATGATGGGTGTGCGAGGTATGATGGGTGTGCGAGGTATGATGGGTGTGCGAGGTATGATGGGTGTGCGAGGTATGATGGGTGTGCGAGGTATGATGGGTGTGCGCGTGGAGGGTGGATGATGATGGGTACCACACGCCCGGCTAGACGCATGCAGGTTATGGGTGCGGAGTGGAGGGTCATGCATTGCTTGGTTGGGGGGAGGGGATGGCTGTGGGCCCTGGCACGCCATGGGCATGCACGGCAGGGGCGTGGAGGGGCGCCATGCCGGTGGCTCGTATGCGGTGCGCGCGGAGGATGACGGGTATCGACCCCCAGCCAGACGCAGCATGCTGCCCTCGGACCTGATAGTGCCAGCCGGCAAGGAGGTGCCGTTTGAGGCGCAGATAGTGGACGTCTTCCACCTCGGCTGCTGCCTGCTGGTTGCCTCCTGATCTTTTCAGCACGCCTCCCTGCTCCATGCTCCCTCCATAATCCCCCCCCCCTTTCCCCTCCCCCCCCCCCCCCCCCACCGCCCCCTGGCCTGCAGTCCCCCAAGTCTCCCCAGCCCTGCCCACCGGCATGCTGCCCTCGGACCTGATAGCACCGGCCGGCAAGGAGGTGCCGTTTGAGGCGCAGATAGTGGACGTCTTCCACCTCGGCTACTGCCTGCGCGCCACAGTGGCAGGCCGCCCCCTACACGGACTGCTCTTCTCCTACGACCCCTCCTTTGCCCAGGCCGCCCTTGCTCGCCAGGCCCAGTGAGTGATCAACACCTCTCTTGGGCTTAGAGTTTCGGGCACCGATAGCGGGGTTTAGGGTTCCACCTCGGCTACTGCCTGCGCACCACAGTGGCGGGCCGGGCCCTGCACGGACTGCTCTTCTCCTACGACCCCTCCTGCGCTCAGGCTGCTCTGGCTCGCCAGGCCCAGTGAGTGATATGTCTCCTTTGGTTTCGCTCAGTCAGTGGGGCTAGGCTTTCAGACATCGGTCGTGGAGTTTAGGCTGCCACCTCCGCTCCTACCACCCCTTGTTTGCCAGCTGCCCTCGCTCGCCAGGCGTAGTACGTGGGGCGGCAATATCTGACTTAGGGTTCGGGCTTAGGGTTTGGACTTAGGGTTTGGGCTTAGGGTTTGGGCTTAGGGTTTGGGCTTCAGTCACTGGTAGTGGGGTTTGGGGTTCCACCCCGACTACTGCCTGCACACCACAGTGGCGGGCAGGGCCCCTTTCTTTGGGGTCGCAGGCTCTTTGAATAAGTTGCTCCTGTGGTAGAGCTCTTTTTAGCATGAGGAAGGCCTTTTTTTTCTACGTTCTAAAGAGCATATAACCTGATTGTCTAGTGGCATACGCTCGAGTTTTGAGGAGCCTTAGAGCACACTGTGCCCAATCTCAGCCACCCCAGCCCAACCCTTTACCCAACCCTCCCCCTCATCTCACTCACCAGGACCTTCCTCCCCCTCCCTCCCACCCCGGTTACTCATCCTCCTGCTGTGATCTCCATGCGCCCTCCTCCACGCTTGCGTCTCCTCTCTCCCCTGCTATCAGGAGGCAAGTGGGCACACGATCCTCCCGCCAGCCCCCTCCTCCTCCGCTGCATCTGACCTTCTCTCCTGAATCCGGTACCCACACCATCACAGTGCCCGACCCCCACCGCCGCAGAACAACTGCCGCCGCCGCTGCTGCTGCTGCTGCCACTGCTGGTGCTACTGCTGGGGGTTTGACGGTTGGTGGTGGGCCTACTGCCGTTACATCGCATGTTGTAACTGTTCCTGCTGCTGCAGTTACTGCTGTTGCTGCTGCTGCTTCTCCAGCAGTCATGGCAGGAATAGGTGCCCCGGGAGTGGCTGCAGGGTCTTTGAGAGAAACAGTGACAGCAGCTGCACCACCACCAGCAGCAGCAGCAGCAACAGCAGCAACAACACAAGTAGCAGCAACACCAGCAGCAGCAGCAACAGCAGCAACAGCAGCAACAGCGCAAGTAGCGGCAACACCCGCAACAGCAGCAGCGGCAATGAGTAGTGGTGGCGCACGAGCCCTTGGCCCTCAGCAGCAGCAGCAGGAGCAGCAGCAACAACAACAGTCTCACGGTGTGGCTTATAGAGGGTACATGGGTGAAATGGTGGCAGCAATGGCTGACACAGGAGGGGGATTTGCTATGATGGATACAGATGTAGGCGGAGAGGCGGGGGAGGGTAAGGAAGAGGAAGAAGATGTGGATATTGTCTGAGAGATGGGTAGGCTAGGCTCGCTCAATCAATGTGTTTAGTTTCTATTATTAGGGAATATTGTAATGTTTTTTTAGAATGTTCATTCTTAGTTTTCCTGTTTAAATAGAATCAGGCTTTTACAGTTTCAGCTCTGTCACAGTTCCCAGGTGAATCTGCCTGCAAATGCGAATGTATCCTGAAGCAGATATTGCGCCACGTCAGCCATCACACGTCGTGTCCCTGACCGCAAGGGGCCTTCGCGCGAACCTCAACGAAATTCAATCCGAGCAAACGAGATTTCTTCTGAAAGATCGCCCAGGCCAACAAGGCCAGCCTTGGGAATATCGTTCAGAATCGTAACCACCATGGTCTCGCCATTGTTCGCACTGCTTGGACATTCCCAAGAATGTGGAACATTTACCTCCCACATCAAGCAACCTGGTCGAAGACTCGTACGAAATGCTATGGCTGAAGAATCTGGAAGTACACAAACTCAAAGCTGAGGGCAAGTACGGCATTTGAATCTGCAAGCGTTCAGTGTGAGCGCCTGGAGCCGTTAGGAGATCCGTAGGACGACACGGCGGTCTTCTCCATTACGGCATTGTCTCACGGGCAACTTTTGAGTCGACTCAAAAGTCACCTCGTTGGCTCACGGGCATTCAGGAAATGCGTGGAATGGGTCGAGCAGCCGACACTCACGTTTGTCCGAACTAGTAGGGTCCGTTGTTTTGCACTCGGGAAATACAGTACAAGGGACCCAGGCTGTAAGATTCGGACCGACCATTTCGCCTCACACCGTCTGTGTATTAATTTCCATACCAACGCCGTCTGTCCGTGCCAACACCTTCAATCGACTTTCACATATAAGTTGGATTCATCTCATTAGCAGTCTGCGCCTAACAGACTGAGAACAGGCTCAAGAAGAACACCCTCCCTTTCTGTTCCGCGCTTAAGCATGTCAACGGCAACCTCCACGCCGTTCAGTGCCGCTCTCACCGCACCGCACAGAACCGTACTGCTTTGCCGCTTACCGCCTGTTCCTCCGCTCCGCGCGGATGGATTGCGCGCTTCCCTCATACCTTCCGCCGCTCCCCTCGGCTTTCCGCCCGCCGCACTCCGCCAGTCACAGCAATCTTCCCCCCGGTCGCGAGGGATTTCTCTTCAGTCGCGAAAGCTCTCGCCCGGTATTCGCCCGGGTAAACTATTTCCTTCGCCCCAGTTTTCCCAGAAGGTTCTAAGACTGGGTGACAGGAGAATCTTAGGAGCAATTTCGCATCAAACAGTTACTAGACATAGGCATGTCGCGGTAAGAGCGACCTCGCAGGGTAGCGACAATTCTGCTTCTAGCGAATCTGATTCTAGCGGTTCTAGCGGTTCCAGTGGCGCTCCGCAAGTCCCGGGGAAGAGTCCCGGTTCGCCGAATGTGGTGCCCAGATCTCGGCCGTCCTATCTGGACATCCCGTTTGATCCTGCGGTGGACGCGACGATGGGAGCGGAGATGGCGGGGAGGAAGAGCAATGAGCCGCCGCCACCTGGGGAAGAGGGGGTGAGTGGAAGGGTTGTGTGAGTGGAAGGGTTGTGCGAGTGGAAGGGTTGTGTGAGTGGAAGGGTTGTGTGAGTGGAAGGGTTGTGTGAGTGGAAGGGTTGTGTGAGTGGAAGGGTTGTGTGAGTGGAAGGGTTGTGTGAGTGGAAGGGTTGTGTGAGTGGAAGGGTTGTGTGAGTGGAAGGGTTGTGTGAGTGGAAGGGTTGTGTGAGTGGAAGGGTTGTGTGAGTGGAAGGGTTGTGTGAGTGGAAGGGTTGTGTGAGTGGAAGGGTTGTGTGAGTGGAAGGGTTGTGTGAGTGGAAGGGTTGTGTGAGTGGAAGGGTTGTGTGAGTGGAAGGGTTGTGTGAGTGGAAGGGGATGAGAGGAAAGGGGATGCGTGAAGATATGGGGGTTTTAGAGATACTTGAGTAAACAAAACTCTGGCGTTTGCCGACACCAGGTATCTCCCATCTTCCCGCGTCTCTTGCTCCTTCCCCTCCCTCCTTCCTTTTGCTCCTCGGGTCGCCCCAGAAACATCGAGCCTAAAGCACATGACACCCGCGTGTAAGAAGCCGTCCCCTCACAAATGAAGGTACCTCATGTGGACACCCGACACCTTCCCACCATCCCTCGCTCTGTTGTTGCCTCTGACCTGATCTACCTTCCACTGTTTCTGCAGAGGAAGGCGACGCAGCTGGGCACGCTGTGGAAGCAGCTGGTTGTTTCAGGCGCCTTCCACGGAACGTACTCTGTACATTCCACACTCCCTTGCCCTCTTGCCTCGACCTACCTTCCATCGTTTCTGCAGAGGAAGGCGACACAGCTAGGCACGCTGTGGAGGCAGATTGTTGTTCGAGGCACCTCAGAATGTACTCGCTACCTTCCCACACTCGCTTGCCCTGTGCCTCTGCCGTTACCTTGTGCCTTCTGCAGAGGAAGGCGACGCAGCTGGGCACGCTTTGGAAGCAGTTCGTCCGCGTGGCGGCGCCCTATTGGTCGTCGGAGGACAAGGGCCAGGCGCGGCTGCGGCTGGCGGCGGTGTTTGTGTTCGCGCTGGGGTGCACTGGCGTGTCCGTGCTCTTCAACTTCCTCTACAGAGACTTCTACAACGCTATAGCGAGTATGTGTACTTCAACCTCCTGTACAGAGGCTTCTACAACGCTATAGCGAGTATGAACTTGTCCTTGCCAGTTCCCTCCCAGACCACCTGCCTTCTGCTGCTCTGGTTGCCTCGCCCATTCCCTCTTCTCCCCTCATGTTTCCCTCATTGCTTCCGCCTTCCCTCACTGCTTCCGCCTTCCCTCACTGCTTCCGCCTTCCCTCACTGCTTCCGCCTTCCCCCACTCCACCCCCCCATCTCACCAGGCCCCCACTCCTCCCCTCCATCTCACCAGGCCCCCACTCCTCCCCCCCATCTCACCAGGCCCCACTCCTCCCCCCATCTCACCAGGCCCCCACTCCTCCCCCCATCTCACCAGGCCCCCACTCCTCCCCCCCATCTCACCAGGCCCCCACTCCTCCCCCCATCTCACCAGGCCCCCACTCCTCCCCCCCATCTCACCAGGCCCCCACTCCTCCCCCCCATCTCACCAGGCCCCCACTCCTCCCCCCCATCTCACCAGGCCCCCACTCCTCCCCCCCATCTCACCAGGCCCCCACTCCTCCCCCCCATCTCACCAGGCCCCCACTCCTCCCCCCCATCTCACCAGGCCCCCACTCCTCCCCCCATCTCACCAGGCCCCCACTCCTCCCCCCCATCTCACCAGGCCCCCACTCCTCCCCCCATCTCACCAGGCCCCCACTCCTCCCCCCATCTCACCAGGCCCCCACTCCTCCCCCCCATCTCACCAGGCCCCCACTCCTCCCCCCCATCTCACCAGGCCCCCACTCCTCCCCCCCATCTCACCAGGCCCCCACTCCTCCCCCCCATCTCACCAGGCCCCCACTCCTCCCCCCCATCTCACCAGGCCCCCACTCCTCCCCCCCATCTCACCAGGCCCCCACTCCTCCCCCCCATCTCACCAGGCCCCCACTCCTCCCCCCATCTCACCAGGCCCCCACTCCTCCCCCCATCTCACCAGGCCCCCACTCCTCCCCCCATCTCACCAGGCCCCCACTCCTCCCCCCCATCTCACCAGGCCCCCACTCCTCCCCCCCATCTCACCAGGCCCCCACTCCTCCCCCCCATCTCACCAGGCCCCCACTCCTCCCCCCCATCTCACCAGGCCCCCACTCCTCCCCCCCATCTCACCAGGCCCCCACTCCTCCCCCCCATCTCACCAGGCCCCCACTCCTCCCCCCCATCTCACCAGGCCCCCACTCCTCCCCCCCATCTCACCAGGCCCCCACTCCTCCCCCCCATCTCACCAGGCAAGGACAAGGAGGCCTTCGTGCGCCAGCTGTTTTGGTCTCCTCCTCATCCCGTTTTTTCAGAAGTGTCCAAAGGCTTTTGAGAATTCTCCAAAGGCTTTTGAGAATTCTCCAAAGGCTTTTGAGAATTCTCCAAAGGCTTTTGAGAATTCTCCACAGGTTTTTTATAATTCTGCAAAGGTTCTTTCTCATTCTCCGAAGGTTCTTTAGAATTCTAAAAAACATAACACAGCCTGCACGAGCTGTTCTGGCCTCGTCCTCTCCCCATTCCGTCCCACCCTGCCCCCCTCTCTTCTCTCGGCCACCACCCCGCCAGGCAAGGACGAGGAGGCCTTTCCTGCGCCAGCTCCTCTGGGTTCTCAACCTCTTTAGAGGCGCCTCAAAAAACAGCTCCTCTGGCTTCTTAACCTCTACCTCCCTTCCTTCCCCCTCACCTCGTCGCCACCTTCCCCTCTCTTGCCCCCCGCCAGGCAAGGACGAGGAGGCCTTCCTGCGCCAGCTCTTGTGGTTTGCTCTCTCCCCCACCCCCACCCCCCTTCCTTCACCTCGCCTCCCCTACTGCCCTCATGGTTCCGCGTCTCTTTCGCCTTCCCTTACCCCCCATCCCGCCAGGCAAGGACGAGGAGGCCTTCCTGCGCCAGCTCTTGTGGTTTCTGGGCGCCACTGTTGGAGGCGTGCCGGTAGGTGGAACGAGGAGGGAGTGCCAGGGAGACGGATGGAGTGTGGGGGGGGTGATGCCTGCAAGGGAGAAGGATGGAGTGGGGGGGGGGGGAAGTGGGGGATTGGTGCCAGGGAGAATGATGGAGTAGGGTGGGGGGGTTGGTGCCAGGGAGAACGATGGAGTGGGGGGGGGGGGGGGGGTTGGTTCCAGGGAGAAGGATGGAGTGGAGGGGGGTTTGGTGCCAGGGAGAAGGATGGAGTGGGGGGGTCGTGTTCCAGGGAGAGGGATGGAGGGGGGGGGGGAAGACGTGCCATTCAGAGGGCGTGAGATTTCTGGGCGTTAGTGTTCGAAGCAGGCCGGTGAGAGGGATGGGGGGCGTGAGGTTTCCGGGCGCTAACGTTGGACACCAAGACTGTCATGTACCGTCTCCTACGGCCATTGTCGCCACCGTTTCCTCCCCCCTCCACACCGTTTCCTCCCCCCTCCACACCGTTTCCTCCCCCCTCCACACCGTTTCCTCCCCCCTCCACACCATTTCGTGCACTGCACGTGTTCGTCTTCAGAGGCTACCTGAGACACACCCTCTCTGTGCGTTGCCGAGGGGTGTGCATGTGCATGTGCATGTGCAAGCGCATGTGCATGTGCATGTGCGTGTGCATGTGCATGCGCATGTGCGTGTGCATGTGCATGCACACCCCTCCCCGCCTTGCAAGTGTTCGGCCTCAGGGATCACCTGAGAAAGACACCCTCTCTCTGCACTGCCGAGCAGGGCTGACGTCACGCCATGGCTTTCACCTCCATGACGTCACACCCCCCTCACAGGTGTCTGTGGTCACACCCCCCATGACCATCTGAGGGACATTCTGCCGCTGCGCTGCCGAGCATGTATGTCCATATAACCCCCCCAAACTCCCCGCCCCCGCTCAGGTGTTTGTGGTGAGGGACTACTTAAGAGACAAGCTGTTGCTGCACTGTGGGGTCCTAGATAGAGACGACCGACCCTTAAGGCTACCTCTGTGCTTGCACCAAGTGTTAGTAGTCTCTTTTGGAGACGCCTTAAAACGACCGACCCTTAAGGCTACCTCTGAGCTTGCACCAACGTGCGCCCTTTATTTCCGTCTTTTTACCTGGCCAGGTGTTTGTGTTCCGGGACTACCTGAGGGACACCCTGTCTCTGCGGTGGCGGGCGTGGATGACGACCGACCTGCTCTCCAAGTACTTCCAGCACCGCACCTTCTACAACATACAGTCACAGGTGCGGTTACAGTTGCAGGTGCGGTTACAGTTGCAGGTGCGGTTACAGTCTCAGGTGCGTGCAATCCATTTGGTTACAGTCAATTACTTTTTGAGTCGACTCAAAAGTCAATTACTGGTGTTAAACACAAGCACACATGACACAAGTCCTTCCAGCTCTGCACCACTTTCAACGTAGTCACAGCTGCGATTACGGTCACAGTTGGTTACAGTCACAGTTGGTGACCGTCATGCTTGTGGCCAGTAACACTAGCAGGTGTTAAGTGTCAATCCTTCTTGAAGGATCTGGACCAGTTTCGTCAACCCTTCCCTTCCAAACCCCCCCCCCCCCAAACCCTTGCCACAGCTGCTAGTAGACAATGCCTATCTACCAACGCATCCATGTATCACCACCACCTCCCTCACCTTCTCTTCTCCCTCTTCCTGCCCCCTCCCCCGTCTCCTCTTTCCCCTTCGTGGCTCCAATCCCTTCCAATCCCTTCCAATCCCTTCCAATCCCTTCCAATCCCTTCCAATCCCTTCCACTCCCTTCCACTCCCTTCAATCTCCCCCTCAATTGGTCCTTCTTCCTTCTGTTCTTCAGTCACTAATAGACAGCCCCGACCAGCGCATCAACGAGGACGTGGACGAGTCCACCACCACGTCCCTCGCCTTCTCCCCCCTCCTGTTTAACCCCCTACCCTTCTCCCCTTCTCCCCCTCAATTGGTCCTTCTTCCTTCTGTTCTTCAGTCGCTAATAGACAACCCCGACCAGCGCATCAACGAGGACGTCAACCAGTTCACCACCACGTCGCTCAACCTTCTCCCTTTCCTCCCTAAACCCCTTTGCCATTCCCCTATTCCGTCTGCCCCCAGTCCCTGATCGACAACCCCGACCAGCGCATCAACGAGGACGTCAACCAATTCACCACCACGTCGCTCGCCTTCTCCCTGGCGCTGGTCAATGCCGTGGTTGACCTGGTCTCCTTCTCCGGCATCCTCTACTCCATCTACCCGCCACTGTTTGGGGTGCTGCTGGCGTACTCTCTTGGCGGAACAGCCATCAGCGTCTATCTTGGCAGGGTGAGCGGTAGTGGGAAGGGTGAGTGGTGCCTGGATGGTAGGAGGGGCTGGTGAGTAGGCCTGAACCCGTGGTTGACCTGGTCTCCTTCTCCGGCATCCTCTACTCCATCTACCCGCTGCTCTTGGCCGTGCTGCTGGCTTATTCCCTTGGTGGCATGGCCATTAGCGTTTATCTTGGCAGAGTGAGTGGAGCCCGCATGGTACGTGGTGCTAGGGGGGCAAGGGTCAACGCCGTGGTTGACCTGGTCTCCTTCTCCGGCATCCTCTACTCCATCTAACCGCCGCTCATCAGTGTTATGTGAGTAGAAGCCGCACTGACTGTTCTCCAAGACAAGCCCTTTCAAACCCTCCCACTCCTACCTCTTCCACCCCTCCTCCCCTGTAAGAGCTGGTGGGGCTCAGCTTCCTGCAGGAGGAGGAAGCGGACTGACAGCCTGGTGATGATAAACCCAACTCTTAAATCCTTGCACTTGTATCCCTTCTCGCCCCTGCCATCTCCACTTTTCCAGGAGCCGGTGGGGCTCAGCTTCCTGCAGGAGGAGGAGGAGATGGACTGACAGCCTGTTGCAAACGCACAGCCCTTCCCCTCTCAGCCCTCCCCTCCACACCCCTGGTGCCCGAATCCCCTCTCTCCGTTCTGCCGGCCTCACAGGAGCTGGTGGGGCTGAATTTCCTGCAGGAGAAGAAGGAGGCGGACTGACAGTCTGCTGATCAACCGGACTGTACCCTTGCACTCGTGCCCCTTCCCACCCTGCCATGTCACTCCCGCCCTCACAGGAGCTGGTGGGGCTGAATTTCCTGCAGGAGAAGAAGGAGGCGGACTTTCGGTACGGGTTGGTCCGGGCGCGGGAGAATGCAGAGAGCATTGCGTTCTACGGGGGGGAGAGGAGCGAGACGCGCCTGCTGCTGCAGCGCTTCAGGCAGTCCTTCTCCAACTACGCTGTGAGTTGGTGCTGGCTCGTGGGAGATCGCAGAGATTATCGGTTTCTGGGGGGGGAGGCGGGGGGAGAGCAGCGAGACTTATCTTCTGCTGCAACGGTTCCGGCAATCGTTCTCCAATTACGCTGTGAGCCGAGTTTCGTCTGTTACCACGAGCTCACCTCTCCTCAACACTTACCATTGTTGCCTCCCTTTCTTCCAACTCCTCAAGTCCGCCTGTGCTATACAGTGCATGCTGGTGGTGGGTTGTAACATGGACCTGCTTTTGAGTCGACTCAAAAAGTATACAGGCTACAGGGTATCCTAATAGTCGTACCTTGGACCATTCCACCAGCTGCTACCAGCTGCTACCAGCTGCTACCAGCTGCTACCGCTGTCTCATCCCTCTCTCTCCTACCCGTCCGCACGTTCCCCCCTTTGGATGCTGCAGCGCCTGCTGGTGGCGGGTTGCAGACAAGTGTTTTTGAGAATTCTCAAAAACACCCTGCAAAATCAAGTGTGTAATGAGTCGATTTTTTAGTCGACTCAAAAACCTACCCGTCCGCACGTTCCCCCCTTTGGATGCTGCAGCGTCTGCTGGTGGTCGGTTGCACGCAACCTCGCCTTCTTCGAAAGCAACTACCGCTATCTCGTCCAGCTGCTGCCAGCAGCCATGGCCCTACTGCCCTTCTTCTTGCCTCACTCTCTCTCCCCCCCTGCGGCGTCTGCTGGTGGTAGGACGCAAATTGGACTTTGTCACAAGCAACTAGCGCTGGCGCATCCAGCTGCCCTACCTCTTTCTGTTCACCCAAGTCCTTCCCCTTCGCATCCCTTTCACCCCACAGCGCCTGCAGGTGGTTGGGCGCAACCTGGAACAGTTCTCGAGCTGTTCCTTCCGCCCAACCACGACCGCTGTCTCATCCAGCTGCTGCCACCCACCTACCCAGTGTCCCTATATCCCAACTCCCTTCCGCTCCTTCCAACCCTGTTCCTTCCACCTCTCAGCGTCTGCTGGTGGTGGGGCGCAACCTCGACTTCTTCACCAGCAACTACCGCTATCTCATCCAGCTGCTGCCGGCGGCCGTGGTGGCGCCGCTCTTCTTCCGCGGGGAGATCGAGTTCGGAGTGATCAACCAGTCCTTCTCGGCGTTCAACCACGTGCTGGGGGACTTCTCCATCATTGTGTTCCAGTTCCAGGCGCTTTCAGAGTTCTCGGCAATTGTGGAACGGCTAGGTACGTGCTGTTAGGGTAGACACTGCACCACAGGTCATTGTAAGGGGAGATCGAGTTCGGAGTGATCAACCAGTCCTTCTCAGCTTTCAAACCACGTGCTGGGAGATTTCTCCATCGTTGTCTTGCAATTCCTGGCTCTTTCTGAATTATCAGCCATCATTGAGCGGCTAGGTACGTGCGGAGTGTGTTGCAGTGCTTCAGACGAGAGATCGTTCCTAGCATCATCAACCAGTCCTGCGCCGTCGTCAACCACGTGCTCGGGGACTTCTCCACCATTGTGTTCTAGTTCCAGGCGCTTTCAGAGCTCTCAGCCATCGTTGTGCGGCTAGGTACGAGCTGTGTGGCTATTTTACACTGTATGATTATGGTGAGTCACTGTAAAGTGAGATCGAGCTGGCGTCATCAACCAGTCCTTCTCCGCCTTCAACCACGTGCTCGGAGACGTCTCCATCATCGTCTTTCAATTCCCGGCTCTCTCAGAGTTCTCGGCAATTGTGGAACGGCTGGGTACGTGTGGCGTGACTGTACACTGTAAGGGAGATCGAGTTCGGTGGGAAGGTCGAGCTCCACGTCGTCAACCAGTCCTTCTGAGAGGTGGAGCTTTGCAAGGTCAGCCAGCCAGTCGTTTTCACATTCAATGTGATCAACCGCATGGGGACTTCCTTCCATCGTTTTAGTTCCACGTCCAGACCCAACGCAGTCCCAAATGAAGCGCTCTCTGAGTTCTCAGCTGCTGTGGAACGGCTGGGCATGTGCCGCAGTGCCGCGTGACCGCATGCTGTGCGCATGCTACCCTTCCCACTGCTCCAAGTGGAATGGTTGCAACGAGGGAAGGGATGCACCTGCGGTGTGACTGCATGCGGTAGGCCTGTGTATGTCCGTGGGTGGAAAAAGCAACCCCCTCGCTGCGTCCAGCTGTCGATGTGTGTGATGCGAGGAATACCAGTGGGACGCTTTCAAGGAGGGGGGGAGGAGCGCATGTGGAGCAGACGCAAAGATGATCTGATTAGGGAGACATGCTGCTGGCCGTTTGACTGGTGGAAGAACCATGGCGCGTGCACGCCACCACATGGGTTCATTCTGCCTCATGGCCGGCAGCAATTGTCTCCTTGCTCATGATGGATCCATATGGTTTTCAATCTGAATGCTCCTCCTTCCCCTCGTTCCTTACTAGCACTATGTACCCTCTCTTAAAGGAATTGATTTTTCGAAGTTTTAGCAGAATTTGACTCGTCCTTGGGTCCTTATATGTACGCACTACTCCTGACTCGCCTCAGGCTCGTCCTCCCTTCCCTCCACCATTCTCACCCCACACAAACCAGTCACTCCGGATGAAGTGCGTATCAAGTATTTTCTGTTTCCATCTCTCCTCTCCCTCTCACCTTCCCCCCACCCAGGCGAGTTCCAGGAGGTGTTGGACGAGCAGAGCAAGCCAGCAGCGCTGCCAGCTGCTGCGACTGCAGCAGGTGTGGCAGGTGCGGCCACGGGAGGCAGGCAGGACAAGAACGCTGAGGAGAGGGAATTAGATGCGTCGGCAGGTCAACCAACGGCCGCAGAGCACCTGGCGTCGCTCTTCAACAGCTACATCACCATTGAGAATGTCATTCTGCCCGCTTGGTCGCCCTCAGCCCCTGCAGTGCTGCCCCCAGGCAGCAGCAGTCGCCCGCCCTCCCCTCCCTCCCTCTCCACCTCCTCATCCTCCTCCTCCTCGTTCCCATCCGCTTTTGAGTCAACTCAAAAGCCCTCCCTCTCCACCTCCTCATCCTCCTCCTCCTCCTCCTCGTTCCCATCCGCCCCCGCCTCGCCTCGCGTTCTTCTCGAGCTCGACAGCGTCACTCTCTGCACGCCGCAGTACGCCTCGTGCCTGCTCAACGACCTGTCTCTCACTGTCAAGCAAGGGGAGCACTTGCTGGTGAGTGCAAGCAGCCTGCTTGAGCATGTGACAGTGGCTTGCTGGTGAGCCGGACAGACACTAGCTGTCTCACTCTCTGCACGCCGCAGTATGCCTCTTGCCTCCTCATCGACCTGTGACTCACTGCCAAACAAGGGGAGCAGCACCCGCTGGTGAGAGTGAGTGCGGTGGTTGAGTGGTTATGGGTGCGCTGGGTTGTCTCACTCCCTGCACGCCGCAGTATGCGTCATGTCTGCTAATTGACTTGTCTCACACTGTGACGCAAGGGGTCTTCACCACCCCCTTCCCTGCTCTTCCCTCCCTCCCCCCTTCCCCGCTCCAGATACTGGATCTCAGCAATACTGGCAGGCAAGACCTTGCTTCTCCGTCGCATCCCCCCACCCTCTCCTCCCCCCTTCTCCTCTGTGCCCGCCCCCCCCTCCCCACGTCCTCACCACCCTTCCCACTGGCTCCAGATTATGGGTCCCAGTGGTAGTGGCAAGACCTCGCTGCTGCGAGCTGTGGCTGGGCTTTGGCGTTCGGGCAGTGGAACGGTCAGAAGATACGTTTACCTGCCCGAGGAAGTAGAAACAGCGACGACGAGCGAAGCATTGGCATCTAGCATCAACACGCAGAGCGATACAAGCAGCGCAAATGCGCAGAGTGGCAATAGAGAGAGTGATTATAACGAGACTGGCCGAGAGGGGGGCGAGTGTGCGGCAAGGGATGGCACAGCAAAGACAGGGACGAGAGAGAGTGATAGTGAAGGGAGTGTGGAGGGTGCGAGTGTGGTGAAGGCAGAAGGCGCAGTAGCTGACGTGGAGGAAGGGGTCATGGACGCGGGAGGGGCGGTGTTCTTTGTCCCGCAGCGGCCGTACATGGTGCTTGGTACCCTGAGGCAGCAGCTGCTGTACCCCACCTGGAGCGAGGGGGAGGTCGGGGGAGGAGGGGCGGACGATGAGGGAGAGGGGGCGAAGAGGGAGGGGGGAGAGGGCAGCATGGAGGGGTGGTGGAGCCTTGGCGGCTTGATGCAGCGGTTGGGAGGCAGCAAGGATGGTGACGCTGGAGGGACAGGTGAGGGAGAGAGTGAGGTTGAGACACTCCCCACTCCTCAGCTCAGGCGCTTTACCCACTCCCAGCCTCTCTCTTTGCCTCCTCCCCTGGCACCATGGCACACACTGCCTGCACTGGCACCATTGAGCTGCTTCGAAAAGCTCTTTCCCCGCCTCCTCTCTCCTCCCTCCTCACTCCGCCGTCCCCCGCACACCCGCCCAACCCCCCCTACCTCACCCCCATTCCCTTCCCGTCACTCCATCCAGCCAGATTCCCTTCCCCCTGACCCTAGTCCCCAGTCTCACCTCCTCTCCCCACAACATGGCACGTCCTTCAAACGCAGTCAGATGCGTCCCACAGCTCCCTTTCCCTCTCTTCCCATCCCCTCTTCCCCACCCTCCCACTCTCCTCTCCCCTCAACTGCCTTCCCCCCACCCAGGTCTCCAGTCTCACCTCCTCGTCCCACAACATGGAGCACCACCGTGTCTCAACAGCCCCTTATCCATTTCCCCCTATCTACCCCCCGCCGCTTCCCCCTTTCTCTCCCCCCTCCGCTTCCCCCTTTCTCTCCCCCCTCAGCTGGCTTCCCCCCCACCCCAGTCTCCAGTCTCACCTCCTCGCCCCACAACATGGCGCACCGCCCGCAGCCGTCAGATGAGGAGCTCCTGGCAGTGCTGGACGGTGTGCGATTAGGCCACGTGGCGGAGCGCCAGGGGGGCCTGGACGCCCAGGTGGAGTGGGCGAGCGTGCTGTCCTTGGGCGAGCAGCAGCGGCTGGCGTTTGCACGGCTGCTGCTCTCCAGGCCAGAACTGGCACTGATGGACGAGTGCACAAGCGCTCTGGATGAAGATAACGAGGTGAGGGGGAGGGCGAGGATGACAATGAGGTGAGAGAGGTCGTAGCACATCAGCACAGGTGGTGGTGGGAGACCGTGCTGTCCCTGGGGGAGCAGCAGCGGCTGGCGTTTGCGCGGGTGCTGCTGTCACGACCGCAAGTAGCGTTGATGGATGGGTGTGCTCAAGTGCACAAGTGCTCTGGACGAGGATAACGAGAATGGCAGCAGAGAATGAACAAGTGCTCTGCTCAGCAGAGAATGGCAGCTCTGAGAAAAGGTGGGCGCAAGGGCGGGCTGGACGCCCAGGTGGAGTGGGCGAGTGTGCTCTCCTTGTGGGAGCAGCATTAGCTGGCGTTTGCGCAATTACTGTTTGTCTAAACCTAGACTGGCGTTGAGGAATGGGTGTACAAGTGCACTGGACGAGGAGAAAGAGGTGAGGGTGAGGGTGAGGGGGGAGAATACGTGTGTGTGCATGGTCTAAAAAGCAACACTATCTTCCCATCCCTTTCCCATCCCCATCCCAACCCCTCCCCATGCCGTCACACTATCAGGCCCATGTGTACGGGCTAGTGGAGGCCGCCGGAGTGACGTTCGTCAGCATCGGCCACCGCAGCTCCCTCCGCCGCTTCCACACTCACCTCCTCTCACTCAGCCCCAGTGGGGGAGCAACGGGTAGCAGTGATGCCTCTGCTGACGTCAGTGATGATGCCAGGGACAGCATGGATGATGTCAGCAGCAGTGATGAGAAAATGGGAGGGAGAAGGGTGGTGGCGCGTGCAACGGGTAGCATGTGGACTCTGGAGAGAATAGGCGAGTGAGTTACATGGCCAGTGATCATTGTTGGTAGTGGGTGGCAGGCGTCAGGCGAGAGTGGTGCTGGGGAGTGGGGATTGGTGATGGGGCAGGAAGGAGTAGGGTGGTGGTGGCACATTCCACATGTAGCATGTGGACTCTGGAGAGAATAGGCGACAGATTTATTGGTGTCTGACCTACGATGGTTGGTGACGGGCGTGTGTGCGGGGATGGAAGTGGTGGTGAGGAGAGGTTGGTGCAAGTGGCTGGAGATGAAAAAGCTGAGGCGGGAGGGAGAAGTGTGGCGCGGTAGCACGTGCAACGAGTGTTTGGCGAGGAACCTGGAGAAGATAGGCAAGTACAAGTATAATATACTTGGTGGGAGGGCGTACACGCATTTGCGATTTATTCTTGGGGGTTGTGTTGTGTAAAGATGTCGAGTTGGATGGTGTTGATGAATTTGCGAAACTGGAATGTGTGATGGTGATAGGTAGATGGGGTTCAGAAATAGTCTGCTCTTACAAAATAAATGACCAGAGCCGAAAGTCTCCCTGCAATTCTCCTCATAACGAGTACTTAACCCTGTTAGCCCGAGACCTATTTCGAATCCCACCTGGAAGACCTGCGGCTCGATAGGTGAGTGGAGAACAACTGAATTACAGTAACCACCCACGAGCAAGCAACCCGCCACGGAAGCACCAGCAGCACATCAGGTCAGGGCGCTCACTCGCAAAGCAACTCGCAGCAGCAGGCCGGGCCCAAGCCAGACTCGAGACTCATCTTTTCCCTTACCTCCCGCATAAAACTTACCCCTCGGCTATTCCTCTCCCACAGCAAGCAAGTGGCTTTCCCAGCGCATCAGAGCTCATAACAATCAGACTTCTAGTAACGACCTCCGTACAGTCTAGTGTATACAGAAGCTTTATTCTCGATACCCGTCGTCCCTCCCAGCGCGTGAGAATGGCCAGAGCCGCGCTTCTCGCGCTCTCCCTGGCGCTGCTCGTCGCCGTCGCGCGCGCCGGCAGCCCCATCACGAGCTCGTCCGCCAACGAGAAGCCCGACCTGAGCAGCAAGAAGGACGACGGGCTCATGACCGAAATCCCCGCCGCGATCGCGAAGGCTGCTGCGTCAGGCGACGCGGCCGGTGTTACCTACGTCGATACCGCTCAGGATACGTTTTTCATGGCTGACGTGAAGAAAGCGGGGTGGAACGCGCAAAAGTGCCCACCCGGTTTGAACAAGGAGCTGGCGGGAGCGTGCACGCCCAAGAACTGCTCCAAGGGCGGAATCGCCGCCAAGTGGAAGACCGCCTACCTGCAGAAGAACAAGCTCGGTTACGAGCTGTACGTGCCGGGTAACCCGCTGACGCTGCTCAAGGCGAACCCCGCGTCGTGCTGCAACACGTGCGCCTCGACGCCCCTGTGCACGTACTGGCAGTACATCCCCGATATCACGATTGACGGAAAGAAGGGCAAGGGCGCGTGCTACCTGATTCACGACCAGATTGACTTCACGTGCGGAGAGATGACCGCGCAGTACAGCACGGAGACGAAGCCCGTGCCCCTGCAGGTGCGCATCGGCGGCGAGTGCAACCCCGCGGCGAAGATCCTCAACGACCCGCATCTGGTGGGCGCGCACGGCACGCACTTCGACTTCAACGGCCGCCCCGACAAGGCCTTCTGCCTGCTCACCGACCGCGACCTCCACGTGAACATGCTCCTCCGCGGTTACTACGACGAGAGGACCGACAACGCGGCGCTGGTCGTCGACGGCAAGGCAGTGCACACGTGGATCAAGGAGCTCGGCATCGTGTGGACTGCCGGCGGCGTGGACCACAAGATTCGGCTGGCGGCGCGCGGCGGCAAGCAGCAGGAGCGCGGCGAGGGATTCATGAAGAGCATCGAGATCGACGGCGAGGAGATCCCTCGCATGCAGGTCGGCGACAGCGTTACCGGCGCCGGCGGGCTCAAGGTCGAATTCCGCGGGCTCGAGAAGGAGGGACCGTTCGATGTCGATTACTACCTGCTCACGATCGACGGCCTGGTTTCGCTCGACCTCCGCCTGCGCGTGGCTCACCCCAAGCTGCAAACCCCGACCGACGCCGAGGCGCACATCAATGTGGGAATTGCGGAGCTGGAGCACACGGAGGAGATTCACGGCGTGCTCGGACAGACGTATCGCGCGGATCACTCGCAGCGCGCCGCGGACTTCCAGCGCCTGATCGCGAGCCTGCACCGTCCGATCTCCGCCGATGGCGCGGAGGGCAAGGGCTTCCTTGATGGCACACCCAGGTCGTACGAGGCGAGCGACGTGCTCGCTGTGGATTGCGCTTATACCGCGTACGGCCGCGCCAGACAAGTCATGCCCGTGCAGCCGTAAGTGCTGGTTCGGTGCTGCATGTACTGTACAGTGGGCTGAATGTATACATAGGTAGCATACATCCATAGGACTAATACTAGTGGGCTGATTCTCCCTAATGTATTGGATTTATTTCTGCCAAACCACTCTTCATACGGTTTTGATCTTAATACTAAGCAGCAAGTGGTGCTGTAGCAGAGAGATGGGCGCGGTTGGAATACAGCCACAGAAGCAGCTTGAAATGGAGATACAGGCACGAGTACCAACAGGTTGCTGTGCTTCAAACGAAGCCTGCATAGCGTGACAGCAGAACCTTCTCCCACTCGCTTGCCTGCAGAATCAGCTGCTGCTAGCGAACATGCAACAGGGGCGGTAGCGGCTGGGTTGGGTGGTGCGTGCGGTGAGGGGGGGGGGGGGGGATGGGGCAGGGTTGACTTGGAAGGAATGGCTGATACTGCCTGCAGCGCCAACGGGGGATATACAGAGCAGGGAACGCTGGAGTAAGGAACGGTGGAGGGGGGAGTGGTGGAAGGGGCGATGGCAGGAGGTGGCGCTTGGTCCAAGCGCCTGCTCTTGTGTTGCTTGCGCCTCTGCTGCTTCTGCCTGCGTGTGCGGTGCGGAGGCTTACACCGCGTGTTGCAACTTGCAGCCCGTGAGCTCCTGCTGCGTTCCATTCCAAGCAGGGGCAATGGGGTGAGCAGAACCATGAGCAAGAAGCCGTCCCTCTGCCCGCGAGCTCCAGCTGCATTCCTCCAGTTTTTGCCGCTGTCATCCCAGTAATGGTCACTGGCGTCGTTGTCATTGCTAATGCCTTACCCTCAACATTGCTTACAATCTGAATTTACTCCTCCATTCATCCACCCCGCCCCCATCATTTCACGCCCATAACTTCTCATCTTCTCACCTCCATTCGTCTCACCTTCTCTCCCCCATTTCTGCTACTTTTGCTCATCTTTTGACAGTCTGGGTCGGCCATTCTGTCACTTGTGTCCTCCCTGCTTCATGTTGTGCTCTTGCCATTTATTCCAACTCGTTCAAGTGCTCCTCGTTTCCCCCTCTTTCTGCCTCCCATCCCCTCCACTGCTTTGACACCATGCATCTCACTGTCAGCTACAATGATCCCAACAACTTCCTCTCACACTTGTCTGAATCACCATCACCCACTCTGATGCCTGAATCACCATGACCCACTCTCATGCCTGAATCATGTTGCCCTGCGTGTGGTTTGTGCCTGCCTGCCAAGTCAGCTTCCCAAGGCTTATTCCCAAGTCAGATTCCCAAGTCAAATCCCCAGGTCAGATTCCCAAGTCATAATCTCGAGTCAGATCCCCAGGTCAGATTCCCAGGTCAGATTCCCTCCCAGGTCAGATTCCAAGTCAGATTCCAGACAGATTCCCAAGTCATATTCCCCAGTCAGATTCTCAAGTCGGATCCCCAGGTCAGATTCCCAGGTCACATTCGCAGGTCAGATTCCCAGGTCAGATTCCCAGGTCAGATTCCAAGTCAGATACCAGACAGATTCCCAAGTCATATTCCCAAGTCAGATTCCCAAGTCAGATCTCCAGGTTAGATTCCCGAGTCATAATCTCGAGCCAGATCCCCAGGTCAGATTCCCAGGTCAGATTCCCATGTCAGATTCCCAGGTCAGATTCCCAGGTCAGATTCCCAGGTCAGATTCGAAGTCACATTCCAGTCTGATTCCCAAGTCCTATTCCGTCAGATCCCCAAGTCATAATCTCGAGGCAGATCACCAGGTCAGATTCCCAGGTCAGATTCCCATGTCATTTTTGCAGGTCAGATTCCCAGGTAAGATGCCCGGGTCAGATTCCCAGGTCAGATTCCGAGTCAGATTCCAGTCAGATTCCCAAGTCATATCCCCAGGTTAGATTCCCAAGTCATAATCTCGAGTCAGATCACCAGGTCAGATTCCCAGGTCAGATTCCCATGTCAGATTCCCAGGTCAGATTCCCAGGTCAGATTCCCACGTCAGATTCCAAGTCAGATTCCCAAGTCAGATTCCCAAGTCTTATTCCCAAGTCTTATTCCCAAGTCTTATTCCCAAGTCATAATCTCGAGTCAGATCTCCAGGGCAGATTCCCATGTCACATTCCCATGTCACATTTGCAGGTCAGATTCCCAGGTCAGATGCCCGGGTCAGATTCCCAGGTCAGATTCCACTCAGATTCCCAAGTCCTATTCCCAGGTCAGATTCCCAAGTCAGATTCCCAGGTCATATTCCCAGGTCAAATTCCCAGGTCAGATTCCAAGTCCGATTCCCAAGCCCAATTCCCAAGTCAGATCCCCAAGTCAGATTCGCAAGTCAGATCCCCAGGTCAGATTCCCATGTCACATTCCCATGTCACATTCCCAGGTCAGAGTCCCAGGTCAGATTCCCAGGTCAGATTCCCACATCAGATTCCAAGTCAAATTCCAGTCAGATTCCAAGTCAGATTCCAGTCAGATTCCCAAGTCGTTCCCAAGTCAGATTCCCAAGTCATATCCCCAGATTAGATTCCCAAGTCATAATCTCGAGTCACATCCCCAGGTCAGATTCCCAGGTCAGATTCCGAGGTCACATTTTCAAGTCAGATTCCCAGGTCAGATTCCCAGGTCACATTCCCAGGTCAGACTCCCAGGTCAGATTCCCAGGTCAGATTCTCAGGTCAGATTCCCAGGTTGGATTCCGAGTCAGTTTCCCAAGTCAGATCCCCATGTCCCATTCCCATGTCAGATTCCCAGGTCAGATTCCCAAGTCAGATTCCCAGGTGAGATTCCAGATCAGATTCCCAGGTCAGATTCCCAGGTCGGATTCCGAGTCAGTTTCCCAAGTCTGATCCCTTGGTCCGATTCTCATGTCAGATTCCCAGCTCAGATTCCCATGACAGATTCCCAGGTCAGATTCCCAGGTCAGATTCCCAGGTCAGATTCCCAGGTCAGATTCCAAGTCAGATTCCCGGGTCAGATTCCCAGGTCAGATTCCCAGGTCAGATTCCTGGGTCAGATTCCTGGGTCAGATTCCCAGGTCAGATTCCCAGGTCGGATTCCTTGTCAGCTTCCTAGGTCAGATTCCCAGGTCAGATTCCCAGGTCAGATTCCCAGGTCACATTCCCAGGTCCGATTTCGAGTCAGATTTGCAAGTCAGATCCCCAGGTCCGCTTCCCATGTCAGATTCCCAGGTCAGATTGCTAGGTCAGATTCCCAGGTCACTTTCCCAGGTCACATTCCCAGGTCAGACTCCCAGGTGAGATTCCCAGGTAAGATTCCCAGGTCAGATTCACAGGTCGGATTCCAAGTCAGTTTCCCAAGTCTGATCCCCTGGTCCGATTCTCATGTCAGATTCCCAGCTCAGATTCCCATGTCATATTCCTAGTCAGATTCCCAAGTCAGATTCCCAAGTCAGATTCCCAGGTCACTTTACAAGGTCACATTCCCGGGTCAGACTCCCAGGTGAGATTCCCAGGTAAGATTCCCATGTCAGATTCCCAGGTCAGATTCCCAGGTCAGATTCCCACGTCAGATTCCAAGTCAGATTCCCGGGTCAGATTCCCAGGTCAGATTCCCGGGTCAGATTCCCATGTCAGATTCCCAGGTCAGATTCCCAGGTCAGATTCCCAGGTCAGATTCCCATGTCTTATTCCCTAGTTGGACTCCCAAGTCAGATCCCCAGGTCAGTTTCCCAAGTCATAATCTCGAGTCAGATCCCCAGGTTAGATTCCTATGTCACATTCCCATGTCAGATTCCCAGAATTCCAAGTCAGATTCCAGTCAGATTGCCGAGTCATATTCCCCAGTCAGATTCTCAACTCAGATCCCCAGGTCAGATTCCCAGGTCACATTCCAAGTCAGATACCAGTCAGACTCCCAAGTCTTATTCCCAAGTCAGATTCCCAAGTCAGATCCCCAGGTTAGATTCCCGAGTCATAATCTCGAGTCAGATCCCCAGGTCAGATTCCCATGTCAGATTCCCAGGTCACATTCCCAGGTCAGATTCCCACGTCAGATTCCAAGTCAGATTCCCAAGTCAGATTCCCAATTCTTATTCCCAAGTCATAATCTCGAGTCAGATCCCCAGGTCAGATTCCCATGTCACATTCCCATGTCACATTCCCAGGTCAGAGTCCCAGGTCAGATTCCCAGGTCAGATTCCCACGTCAGATTCCAAGTCAAATTCCAGTCTGATTCCAAGTCAGATTCCAGTCAGATTCCCAAGTCGTTCCCAAGTCAGATTCCCAAGTCATATCCCCAGATTAGATTCCCAAGTCATAATCTCGAGTCAGATCCCCAGGTCAGATTCCCAGGTCAGATTTCCAGGTCAGATTCCCATGTCAGATTCCCAGGTCAGATTCCCAGGTCAGATTCCCAGGTCAGATTCGCAGGTCAGACTCCCATGTCAGATTCCTAGTCAGATTCCCAAGTCAGATTCCCAATTCTTATTCCCAAGTCATAATCTCGAGTCAGATCCCCAGGGCAGATTCCCATGTCACATTCCCAGGTCAGAGTCCCAGGTCAGATTCCCAGGTCAGATTCCCACGTCAGATTCCTAGGTCAGATTCCAAGTCAGATTCCCAATTCTTATTCCCAAGTCAGAATCTCGAGTCAGATCACCAGGTCAGATTCCCAGGTCAGATTCCCATGTCAGATTCCCAGGTCAGAGTTTCAGGTCAGATTCCCAGGTCAGATTCCCACGTCAGATTCCAAGTCAGATTCCAGTCAGATTCCCATGTCTTCTTCCCTAGTTGGACTCCCTAGTCAGATCCCCAGGTCAGTTGACCAAGTCATAATCTCGAGTCAGATCCAAAGGTTAGATTCCTATGTCACATTCCCATGTCAGATTCCCAGGATTCCAAGTCAGATTCCAGTCAGATTGCCGAGTCATATTCCCCAGTCAGATTCTCAACTCAGATCCCCAGGTCAGATTCCCAGGTCACATTCCAAGTCTGATACCAATCATACTCCCAAGTCTTATTCCCAAGTCAGATTCCCAAGTCAGATCCCCAGGTTAGATTTCCGAGTCATAATCTCGAGTCAGATCCCCAGGTCAGATTCCCAGGTCAGATTCCCATGTCACATTCCCATGTGAGATTCCAAGGTCAGATTTCCAAGTCAGATCCCCAGGTCAGATTCCCAAGTCAGAATCTCGAGTCAGATCCCCAGGTCAGATTCCCAGGTCAGATTCGCATGT